CAGTCGTTCTTTGTTGAGCTCCCGTCTACATATACTTTCCAAACCTGATCAATGTTGTCTGGTTGCACCGGCCGTGTCATTTCAACAATGAAGTCGGCAAACGCCTGACCTTTCACTGCCTTTCTAGGTTCAAAAGTGATTTCCAGACTTTGCATTTCAATAGCCCATTTCTGCCGGATGATTCCAAGGTAGACATTGGCCGCTTGAGGGGCTGGTCGGTGTAAATTACCACCAGATGGCCAGAAAATACGGCTTTAATTTCTTGAAGGCCATATACAGAGCAAGGCCAAACTTTTCTACCATGGGGTACCGGAGCTCAGCATTTTTTCGAACATGGCTAATGAAATAGACCGGGAGCTGAACGTCGTCTCTCTCAGCAAGGAGAACAGCACTGAGGGCATGATCTGAGACGGCTAGGTACATGTATAACACCTCTTTAGGCAGTGGACTAACAAGCCTTGGCAAAGAGTGCAAGTGTTCCTTCAGCCGTTGAAAGGCTGCCTCAGCATCATCCCCCATTCAAATCTGGTCTTCTTCCGGATTACATGGAAGAAGTAAAGGCATTTGTCACCTGACTGGCTGAGGAATCTCCCCAAGGCCGCCAGGCAACCGGTTAGTCTCTGAGCTTCCTTGACAGTGCGGGGTGACTTCATGTCAATTACCGCCTGTATCTTCTCGAGGTTAGACTCTATCCCCCTTTGATCAATCAGGAATCCGAGAAACTTCCCAAACTCAACACCAAAGACGCATTTCTTAGGATTTAACATAACCTTATGCCGCCTGAGTGTGGTGAAGGTTTCTCGGAGATCAGCAAGGTGATTCGCCTGCTGCTTAGATTTGACTATCATGTCATCAATGTACGCCTCTACATTCCTCCCAATTTGATTAATTAAGGTCGTATTAATCATCCGTTAGAATGTAGACGGCGCATTTTTCAAGCCAAACGGCATCACAGTGTAACAGAATAACCCCTGATCAGTGACGAAGGTCGTCTTCTCTTGATATTTCCTCCACAGGGGTATCTTATGGAAGCCGGAGTAGGCATCCATAAAACTCATCAAGGCATGCCCGGCTGTCAAATCAACCAGACTGTCGATCTTAGGAAGCGGATAACTGTCTTTGGGACATGCCTTGTTGAGGTCTGTGTAATCAACACACATACACCAGGTACCATTCGGCTTCTTTACAAGCACAACATTCGCCACCCAGTCGGGGAAATTACATGGCCGAATGAACCCAGCGTCCAACAGATTTTTAACTTCGATAGCTGCCGCCTGACTTCTTTCCTCGCCGTGATTTCTTTTATTTTGCCGGATGGGCTTCTTTTTAGGGTCCACGGTGAGTTTGTGGACAGCAAGATCCGGGCTGACGCCTGGCATCTCTTCCACTTCAAAGGAAAAAATGTCTTTGAATTCTTTCAGCAGAAGGTGCAAGTCTGCACCCAACTTAGCATAAGCAACTGTCCCAACCTTCACAGTACGCTCCAGACGGCTGTCGTCCAGAGGTATATCAACATGCTCTCTTACCGGTTGGGGACGGAGCTCATCTGACCGTTCACCGGTTAGTGATTGCTATTTTTTCTCTTTCTTCACCTCCACCAGCAGAGGTGCCTTTCTTTTCTTCCCGGCTGCTAATAGGGCTGGTACTGGGTCGACATCCTTGACATTGTTAAGGTCTATTGGTTCCTGGCCGGCTGGGGCCACAGTATCTTTGACGGCTGAGAGATAACACTCCCGGGCCGTCTTCTGATCCCCATTCAAGGAACCAACAGAGCCGTCATCCCTCTCATACTTGATGAGCATGAGGGAAGGGATGATTACAGCCTTGGCTTCGTTGAGGGTTGGCCGACCCAAAATAATTTTGTAGGCGGTCAGCTCCTCAACGACCAAGAACTTAACGACCAGGTGTCGCCCTTTTCCTTTCTCACCCAGTCGGATTGGTAAATCAACCCTTCCAACTGGGTAAACCATTCCACCCCCAAAACCAACCAAGGGGTGGGTAACCAGATGCATGCTGCTGTCATTGTATTTCAGATTTTGCAGGCACCGGAGGCTGATGATGTCTGATGAGCTGTCGGTGTCAATAAGGATCCGTCCAACCAGCTGGTTGGCAACCTTACATTCAATGACGATCGGGTCATCATGCGGACGGCGGACGCTGCCCCTGTCCTTCTCAGTGATCAGGAAGTCTGGGAAGGAGGAGCTTGCAGACGCCTGCTCATTATCATCTTTGTCCATCTTTCGCAGATGGCTCTTGGTGCCCCGGATGGTAGGGCCACCGCGTGAGAACCCGCCTGCTATTGTGTAGACCGGCTCCTTGTCAGTGTCCGAACTACTAGCAGGCTGGGGGGGGGTCTTAGACGACTGCCCCGGATTCTTCTTATTAGTCCCTTTGGACTTAGAAATGTAGGACTTTAACATCCCCTTGTTAGCCAGACAGTCCAACGCCCGTTGAAGGCTGAAGCAGTCGTTGGTGTCATGGCCAACTTCCTCATGATATTGGCAGAAATTGTTTTTGTTCCTTGATTGAATGGAACTTTTCATTGGATTTGGCTTCTCTAGGGACAGTCGGTCCTTAATTTCCATGAGGATGGAGTTACAGTCCTTGTTAAACTCGTACTTAGGGACGTACGGTTTAAATTCTTTCTTCTTCTTCTGGGACGGCTGATCAGAGTCACTAACCGCCCATACTTCTTTTCTTTTCTTTTCTTGCTCTCTTCTTTATTTTTGGCCGGCTGAGCAGGCCGACTGTCTTTCTGTTTATCAGACTTCTTAGAGTCCGGCTGATTACCAGGCGTACAAAGGTCGGTTGCTTGAATATAACTTTTCGCCTCCCTCAGGGCCGCCTATAAAGTGAAAGCCCCTTTTCTGACTAGGTCGAACTTAAAAGTCGACCCGTCTCTCAGACCCTTAAAAAAGTCTGTAAAAGCTACCTCGTCAGACAGTTCTTGAATCTGAATTCTAATCAGATTGAACCGCCTGACATAGGAGCGCAGCCCTTCTCTCTCCCCCTGCTTAATGGTGCTCAAGTCCAGGCTTGTTTTCTTAGCAGGGATGTTCATTGAGAAGTTGGAAGCAAACAGGAAGGCAATCTTTCTGAAACTATCGATGGACCCGGCTGGCAAATTGCCAAACCATTGTTGGGCAATGCCCTTCAACGTAGCCGGGAAGCATCGACACCAAGTGGCATCATCCAACCCTTGTAAGTACATGAGGTTGGTGTAAGCCATGAGGTGATCTTCCGGTTGGTGGTACCATCATAGGTACCTACCAATACATTCTTAACCTTGGTCGGCTTCGGTTATCTCCCTGGTGAACGCAGAAGGTTGATCACCCAGGCGAAGCAGACGGAGCTGCCAGTCCAGTGGCTGGACATTATGATATGTCGCCTGACCTACGAAGAAGGCCGGCTGCATATAGTAAGGTGGGTACTGACCGTAGACCTGAGAAGGTACATATGGTGCAGTCCCGATCATCTGAGGGCCAGAGTGGACAGTATTACCGCTTGTCTGACTCTCATGCAAGGAAAGTGCATTCCCTGTAGAAGTATTGTTGAAGCTGTCTGGAAAATTCGACGTAGAAGCCGACTCAGACAATTGTTGATTTCTCTTCCGGTTGATGATCTCCCGGGCATCAAGAGTTGATTTTTTGCTTCCCACAGGCTGTTGAGTCCGGCGGGTGTTGTTGGTATTCCTCTTAGGAAGAAGAATTTTTTACCAATCAATGGTCCCGGCTGCCTTGTCCTTTGGATGAGGAGTTGGCTGCCGATCTCTGACTGACTTCCCCTTTTCCAGAGGAGTCTTCTTGGCCGATTGACCCCTACTTGGGCCAGCCCGGCTCTTAGTGATCAGATCTTTGGTTTCACCCTTGAAACTTGTCATGAACCTCATGAGTTCGTCTCGGGTGACAGGAGCTGATCCAGCTGCCGTGTGGGTTTCCCCTTCCGCCTGCCCAGGGGGTCGATTTGTACCCGCCTGGGTGACACCCCGCTCCAGAGTGTCTTTGTGCCGGATGCGCTTAGTTATTAGAGAGCCATCATCGGCTGTATAAGCTTCGACCTGAGGATCTTCATCCTCCTGTAAAAACTTCTGGGTCATCGCCCAGACGGTTAGAAGGTGGTACAGACTCTTGAACCATCTTCGAGGTACTCTCCCCACAGACGGCGCCAAATGTTTTGAGTGTTTTTGTCCCTTGGGAGAGTTACGTCACGAAGTCTGATCCGGCTGAGTTGTACCCGCAAAACAACGGAGACTTCGGGTGGTTGAAGCTCCGCCTCCGAAGGTCAAGTTAGTAACTTGAAAGGAAATAAAGAGTACGGAAATTTAGGTGGGGATCTGCTTGGATTCCAAGCTCAGGTGTTTTTCTGATGAGAGAGAATGTAGGTGTAATAAATGATTGAATGTGTCCCCAAAATGGGGAAATATCACCCTATTTATAGGGTCATTGGAGAACGTGCCCTTATCTAGGTCACTTGACCTAGATTTCAGTGGGCTGCGCCGTTTTACGACGCTTCTTGGGATTTGGGCCCTTGAAGGCCGCCATTTCAGGGATGTATCCGAGGGGGCCATGTGTCAAGAGGATATTAAGCCACGTGGGTCATCCTGAACTTAACACGTGGCATCCTCTCATTGGTCCACGTGTCTAGGGTATTTTTACCTTAAACAGGTAGAAAGAAGATGTTGCTTCTGGACAAGCGGGCTGAATGGATAGCCACACAGTTTACTCCTATCCCGATATTAATTGGATGCTCCTTTTACTGGTACAAGGCTTCATCTCCCAATTTATTTAACTTAAGAGGTCATTTCTACAGCAAAATAACACACAGCTGCTATTTGGTTAAGGACTACCACAAGTTGATGTTGTGATTAAAACAAGTGTGAAAATTATCCAAAACGGTAAATTGCTATCTAGTTTGTTTTTCTTTTTTTTTTTTCGGAAACAAAATTGCTATCTAGTATCAAAACCAGATAAACTCTAGTTTTTAGAAATTAAGACGAGCAATTTATGGCAAGACCAAGCCACATTTTATTCAAAACTTAGGAGCAACACAATGAATTCATGATAAATTGAATGTATAGTAAACCTTGGACCAAAAAGTCTACTAGTTGGAAATGAAGAATATTACTACGTACTACAATTCACTCACCTATAATATTTCACATCAAACAGTATATGAAGGTAAATGTACAATAATGTATACCATGTATTCTCCATTTGGTGCGAAAGAACTAATCATATCTGTTGTTCCTAAACATCTGCTTCATAAAAAATCGCATCTTAGAACAATTTGCAACCAAAATATGATGCCAAAGCAAAACTCCCTTTGCATTCATTAGCTAGAGTCAGCCTCTGGCTAGTACGATTTTGCAAAAATTGCGACTTCCTCAGCAGGACCTCCTGTCATCAAGCAAGTTTTTGTCCCTTGAGGTTGTTCAAAAGGGAAACATCTAATTGTTGCCCCGGTTTCTTCTTTTACTTTCAACTCATCCTTGTCACTGTACAAAGCAATGAGAAACAAATTATAGTAAACAGATACATAATGATCACATAATAAAGAAAGGAAACGATTTCAAACTCTTGCTCTAAACATCAGCTTCTTAAATCTTAAGTAAGAAATGATACATGGTAGGAGAAAGAATGGCGGAGAAGAAGAATACCTGCCAGACCAAGGACCCCTTGCCCACTTTCCATCGGATACTGCCGCTTTAAGCTCTTCATATGATGTCACATCCAAAATGTTACTGCCAAATACAATTTTAGTCAGTTAACATATTTTTAAAAAATTCAAAAAGGCACTCGATACAACCAACATAGAGGTACAACTAATAACTACTTTTCTGCATTAGAAACTGAGAAGCATGCATACTTCCATAACACAGCCATATGACACACAAGTAAAATCCTTATACCAGTAAGTAATGCCTGGTAATCTTCAACAAACGTAATACTATTTTTGCAAGCTATTAAAACGGTTATCTGAATACACAAGACTCATTTCACAATCTGGTGAAACGGCTATCTGAGTTTTTTTTTTTTTAAAAAAAAAAAAAAATATTCTAAACCTGACAACAAATGGTCCAGTTAACAAACAACTCTTTCTAGAGATGGGACAAGCTCTTCACATAGAACATCGTTGTCTGAATCTCCTTAAAGTTGATATCACATACCACTGGATGCTGACCCACAACAATCCCTTTCTGCATTTCTCTTCCAGCACATTTCCAGGCCACACCTCGCCCTAGCCCAAATTTTGATGGCCTAAACATAGATTTTCAGATTTGGAACAGTTCCACAACCTTGGTAAACATGGCTGTGTATTTGGGATGCTGGAACTTTTACAAATACGACTTGGGAAAATTTTAACTTAGCACTATTGCCAGCAACTTCTGCTGTTCTGCACATAGCAATGGGGTCTATGGGTCCAAAGACCCCATCATCAAATTATCAGTGACTTCCAGCTAGTCTATCATATCAACCATTAAAAAAAGGGTTAACAGTAATGGATTGGCAAAATCAGTGACTTCCCGTGGGTCTGCACCTAAAGTGTGCTGATGAGAGGCAAGAAAAAGAGAAAGGAAGAGGGACAAACTTGATAAATTTATTAATTACACCTATCATACTAGGCCATACTGCAGTACTGGGGTCAATTAGTAAGATATATAAGGTGAATATACGTCGGCCCAATTGAAGAAAGAAATCCCAACTGATTATAGAGCATACCTCAACAAGATTTAATGCCTATATTTTTAAACTTAAAGTTATTCTTTATAAGCAGGTGAGTAAACAACTCCTTCTGAACAATTGTAACAAGTTCTGATCATCAATAGCTTGTATCCTGCCGTATTCAGACTTCCTACAGTCATACATACTCCACTTCATTCTTATACCCCCCATAGGAATTTCAATATATTTAAGGAAACAACAATTAAGACATTCACAGTTGATTAAATCCACCCCTGATCAACTACAGTGTAGACTGCTTCATGTAAGTACTCAATGCATTAAAGTCACATATCATATTGTGACATTGAGAAATTTTTACAGGCACTACAAGTTGGAACAGGTAAGAGTATTCTCATTTCTAATTAAAAAGAGAAATGACCTTGTTAATACACTTTCCCACGTTGTGTTTATGATATAATCATACTCTATCAATTTTGGTAGGCATTTTAAGAGGGCACTTCACGAGGCAAGAACAAATTAGAAAATTAGTTCTATACAGTCTGGGAACTGACATTATTACAAGAATATAAGACAATTTCTGATATTGTGAACAGCTTCATGTTGTACAACAAAAATCCACTTTATGCTACGTTACTAATTTTATTTGAAGTTTTCTAAATAATCAGCTTTTGGAAGAGGCTCACCATCAGGTAATGAAAAATCAAACAGCATCATTCAATTTTTCCTATAGAATCAGTTCTCTTTAATATTTTATAAAAACTAATTACTTTATCTAGTCAAAATCAGACCAGATAACATTAGATCAAACCAGAAAATATATTGATATCTGTTTGCTTATAGCTATGTATCTTTAAATACACATTAGTAATAAATTAAAATATTGACATAGTTGAAAAGTAGTCATTGAGAGTTGGAGACAAATCTAACACACTTCATAATTTTTTTCTTACATATTCTCTTAATATGCGAATCAAACTAGTACACCAGATGAGATCAAAACTGAATCAGAAAGATTAATAAAGTTATACCACAACACCTTATTTTCTGGTGAAGAGATTAAGTTCAAAACCTGGACTATGCCATAGTCTCCCCACAACATGTAACCCACAAATGATTTTAAAGCCAGTAAAGGATGTTAAGAACTGTCCACGTAAAGGCTTCTGCTTCACCCAGAAGTTTTATGTCCCAAATAACTTGCTAAGAGAGGACCTTAATTCTTAATTGAAAGAAGACAAAATATGGTGGTGATAAGCAAGCAAGCAAATGAACCCGTATTGCTAGCACCAAAGCCTCCTACCAGATCAAAATACTGCAACTTTTGTCAAGTTTATGAAGGAGCAACTAAAGTATATGAGCCTCTAAGGATCCATTTGGGGGTGGGTACCACCGGACTGGCATAGGAAGTTGGGATTTTCGACTAATAGGAAAAGACAGCAATCATGGCATTCTAGTAATCTGGTTTTTAAAGCCATACTGTGCAAAATTTCAGGTCCATAGTCTCCCCGTCTTTATCTAAAAGGTTTTTCAAGGGTCTTTCAGAACAGTCTCTAGCAGTTTCAAAAAATTCTACCCAAGGTAGGAATCTTAGGATTTGTACTGGTTGTTTGTTGTTGGGTCTCACCTTACTCACCTTTTTTTATTCAATCTTATAAGTGTTTTATTTTTAACTTTTTTTACATACCTAACAATAAACATAGAATGGGATGTCAAATTAGTAGTCACACTAGCATAATGACATAGTGCATAACTGTGCACAAAGCAGCCTAAAAACAGAATGCTCAGTTCACAATATAGTTTACCAGAATTTATCACTATCAAAAGAAAAGTAGAAGAATCACAAATAAAGCAAAGGAGTATACCTATCACGGAATGATGTTGCCATACTCAACAATGATGCCTGCATTTCATCCAACTTGTCTTTTACATAAGAAACCAGAACATCAGGTTCCATGGATACTCCAAATACTTTTCCTTGTTTACCAGGAATATCTCTTCTTGATATGACCACACTTTTATTCAAAACATCACGTGGACCAATTTCTATTCTTACAGGAACTCCCTGTCAAATAAATTTTGATTTAGAGAGCCAGAAAGAAGATGTAATCGTATCTAAGATGCTCTGAGTTATCCCATTCTTAACAAAGATGCATCCAAAAACTAGTATACTCAAGGAAAAGTAAAAAAACTGATAATAAAATAAAAATTAATAAAAAACCAATAAAACTTTAGCAACTACTACCTAACAAAGAAAAATAACCAAGTCTCTCAGAAATCTTTTTTCCTTAGCAATCAGCCTATTGATATGGCTGCATCCCAGCAGTTTCATGGTGTAAATATAACTTATATTGTAGTAGGCCAACAAAAGCATCGGAATTGTAATGGCAAATAGAATATGTTGAGCCTTTGGCCTTAACCAAAATTCATTTTGATCACAGCAACAAGGAAGTATGGGAGATGTATTTGTCACAAGTATGTTCCATTGTTTACTAATATTTGATTCCAGCATCACCAATTGTTTGACAATTCACTCCTAATTACTAATTTAGTATGAAAGCACTGCTTAAGTAGGAAAAGATCTAATAGGATCCAATTCAACATCCAAGGTTAATAGATGTCACCATTTTAAAAAAATAAAGTTGTACATGAGGAAAACATTTCACACTAATTCATCAAATGAGCTATGTTGTTAAATACCTAAATATGATGCCACAGAAATCTAAAAATGGTATAAATATGGCATGATGCTTAAATGTCTAGACTACCAGTGATTTGAGATAGCAAAGCAGTATAATGGAAAGATAAATGCAGTAACAATGACATGATAAAGCATACAGAAAATCATATGTTAAAAAAAATAAAATAAATAAAGTGCTGGGATGCCACAAATAAGCCTCATGACAATGATCAAGAGTGAATTCACACCTTCATTTCCCAAAAGTTAAATTTCCATCCAGGGGTTTGCTGCTCAGAGTCGTCAAATTTAACTTTAATCCCAGCACTTTTCAAGGCTTCATAAGTAGAAATGCCAGCATCAAGAACTCCTAATTTCTCTTCTTCCTTTTTCCAAATGGGTACAATCACAACCTAAAAGGGCATATGATCAATATAACACGAAATCAGGAATTAAACTACACCAAAATAAACAGAAAATTACTCAACATGACTTGAACTATAGAAAAGACTAACTCATGATCGAAACTATAAGTTGTACATAATCTACACATATAACTATAGTCCTATACTATTTAATGAGTAAATCAAAAAGTAAAAGCATTTTACTTCAAGGATGACATTCCATCAAACCAGAATGACGTTTAAGGTCTCTTTGTCCTCCCTTTCAAATTTCATATCTTTGTTCTTCATTTTCTAGGTGAGGGGCAAGTTGTTTCTCATACAATCTCAGCCTTAAACTGAAAATACTCTCCGATCCTACAAGTTTAACTATTTTTCATTTGAGGTGTTCCAGAAACTTACCTTACTAGACAACTATTTACACCTTTCCACTCATTTTTGTTAACTTTATACATAATTTCTCACCCCCACTCACCTTTTACTCCATCTCTTTTTATTATTCTTGTCTCACATCCAACCACTTACCTGAAGCTTTCCATGATTACAGTAAGTGAGACAAACTTTCTAGATCAGAAGGTGTGTGTTTGTATTGATTTTGATGGAAAAAAAATGCTAGGGATTAGCATGGTTTCCAGCAGTATAAATGGCAGAAAATTAGGAAGAAAAAGCTGATCATAGTATTAAGATGAGAATTACAACTTTCGAGAAGTGGATTCTCCCCCAAGTATGAGCTTTCGAGAGGCTCACTCTCTCCCAATAACTAACCCTCACAATATTCAACATATCCTCTACCCTCCTAATGAGGCCTATTTATAGAAAATCCCTCTTAACAAATCTTTAGCTTATTCCCCAAGCTACTAATAATAAGCTATGACTAACATACCCTTCAACTAATATTGATTCCTTGCACTGCCCGCCACCCAAACTTTCACCTTGTCCTCAAGGTGGATGGATAGTAGTCGGCACTCAATTCCTGGCAGTGGCAATGATGAGCTGTGTCCAACTTCTCGTGACAATCGTAACCAAGATCCTGCTTCAGTGAGGTGCTGAACTCGGTGGAGAATTGATCTTGTTCTAAATCCCTGTAGCAGACATCAGGTAGTAAATTCTGAACAGGGACTAAGTAATGGGGGCAGGCAATTGATTTGTGGATATAAGCCTTGTGTTTATAAAGCTGGATATTAGTCTTCCATCATATGTCTTACATGGGTTGGAGGGACATGAGGAAGGGCTTTCTTTTAAGAGCTAGGTAGGTTGAAAAACTAAATGTGAGGAGTGGGATTGGTAAGCTGGACATAAGAGATTGGGCTGTGAGCTAGAAGTTTCACTGATGGGCCTTATCTGATTTAAGAAAATTGGGCCCATTTCTCCCTCTTCAGAACCCCATTTTGCATTTTGGTATGAAAAAGACCCACAAAGTCTTTTCTCAGCCATTATATCATAAGTTTGGTAATTGGCAAAATTACCCTTACTAGCATATTTCATTTCTGACTTCCTCTCCAAGCTAACAAGAGACCCCAAGCTTCTCTCATACTCCATTGTTACTAGAATATTCTGCAGCAAGTACCATGGTGCCTCGCCACCCAAAAAATCACCACCACTAGCACGCTCGCCCGGACCACCACCGGACCCGCTCCCTCTGGCACCACCATGCTCGAACATTCCTTCCAGCGGCTTACCTACGAGAATATTACATCCATCACTCGATTTATTGACACCTCCTTGACCACTGTTTTCCTGGCCACCAGATGTTCCGGTGGTAAAATCATCTCCACCAGTAAACTCAATGTTACCACTGCCACCAGATCTGCCGTCGCCTCTACAACCACTCACCGTCAACCTCGGCCCCTGATTTGAGCTTTTCTACGACGGGAAGCCAAATATCCCACCACCACTACAATTTCCGACACAACCTCCTGGACAACTACCCGAACCACAGCATCCGGCACCACCTCTCTCAAATATTCCACCATATAAACCACCAACATAACCACCTGCCTTATTTCTCGACCTACTACTTTCAAAATTACCGCTAACACCACTCGCGAAATGCAGACCACCAGTTTCGCCGGTGCAATCACCTCGATCTCCACTGGTAAATCCACCTGCAAAATCACCACGTCTTCCACCAGCACCTCCACGAGATCCTCCACCAAGTTTCTCCACCATCGCGCCACCGGAGAAGCTGCTAATGACGGAACAAGAGTACTGTTCAGATCTGGAAATCTCCATATATACTTTTTCCTCCACCTTCTTTTCCTCTTGTGATGCAATTTCTTCCTCACCACATGACAACTCACATGTGGCTGACTGCTCACTGACCTGATGTTCTTCCTCCTTGAGGTCTTCTTGAATTGCACCTAACTTCAATCTGATCCGAGAAATTGCATTATCGAAAATGTTCTCTATGTTCTTGCACATTCTCTGTAATCTCATCTATTTTCGCCTCAAATTCTGCCTGTGAGAACAGTTTAGTGGACTCGCTGGTCGTCAGAGCTTGACTGAACTCACTGTTCGCCGGACTTCCAGCAAGGTCACCGGGGACCGTACTGCTCTTATACCATTTGTTAGGGATTAGCATGGTTTCCAGCAGTATAAATGGCAGAAAATTAGGAAGAAAAAGCTGATTGTAGTATTAAGATGAGAATTACACCTAATTAAATGATAATTCCACTTTCGAGAGCTGGATTCTCTCCCAAGTATGAGCTTTTGAGAGGCTCACTCTCTCCCAATAACTAACCCTCATAATATTCAAGATATCCTCTACCCTCCTAATGAGGCCTATTTATAGAAAATCCCTCTTAACAAATCTCTAGCTTATTCCCCAAGCTACTACTAATAGGCTATGACTAACATACCCTTCCCCTAATATTGATTCCTTGCAAAAAAGTCATTTTATTTAATCAGTTTTCCTAAAAATAATATAACTAAAATAAGGTAGTTTTTGAAGGAGAACTTTTTGCCTACAGAAACACAAATTCAAGCTTTAGATAAAATTGGCATGCACAATTTGTTGACTCTGTAAGCAATCAGATTCCCTTTCCAGTTGTCCCATCTTTTATTTTTCCATTTGTTACAAATAAATTACAATATTCTTTGCTGCATGATGAAATGCAGCCACTAAGTTCATGCCAAGATGTCACACATTGATTATATAAAAGAGTAGTTGGAAAATACAACAAGTTACCTGTATAGGAGCAACCCTTGGAGGAAGCATTAAACCAGCATCATCACCATGAGTCATGATTATACCACCCACAAAACGCGTGCTTATAGCCCATGAAGTCTGCCACACATGTTGCCTTTGCCCATTGTCATAAGTAAACTGCATATATATGTTCAAATCCTTCATTCAACAAGCAGCATCATTTCAGATTAAACATATGGAAGCAATAAGTCCCACTAGGCTGAACCTGTGTGCCAAATGCACGTGAGAAATTCTGTCCAAGGTTGTGGCTAGTCCCAGCTTGTAGAGCTTTCCTGTCACCCATCATAGCCTCGATTGTATAAGTTCTATCAGCTCCAGCAAATGTTTCTACCTTTGATTTCCTGCCTGCAATTACAGGTATTGCAGCATGCTCATAAGCAAACTTTGTGTAGACATCAATCATCTGCAAGGCCTGTAACAAGAAAATTTTATCCAGAGTTAAGAGTATTGCCATTTATCACATCTAACAACTTTAATAATAATAATAATAACAATAACCATAACAATAACAATAACAATAATAATAACAATAACAATAATAAACAATAGTAATAATAATAAACATAATAATAATAATAGTAATAATAATAAACATAATACATTAGTAATAATAATAAACATAAACATAAACATAATAATAATAGTAGTAAACATAAACATAAAACATAAACATAATAAACATAAACATAAACATAAACATAAACATAAACAATAACAATAACAATAACAATAACAATAACAATAACAATAACAATAACAATAACAATAACAATAATAATAATATAAAATAAAAAATTTAGAGAGAGAAAAAAAAAAAAAAAAAAAAAAAAAAAAAAAAAAAAAAAAACCTCTTTCTCTGCCTCTTCTGGAGTGGAATGAGCAGTATGACCTTCTTGCCAAAGAAATTCAAGAGTCCTCACAAATGGCTTTGTGCGCATCTCCCATCTTGTGACATTTGCCCACTAAAAATGAAACTTTTAGACATAGATAGAAGGAATAAAAGGAGAAATATAAAGTTCCTAGCTTATTGTAAACTTACCTGGTTAATCATTAAAGGAAGATCACGATGACTTTGGATCCATTGAGTGAACATATAGTTTACTATAGTTTCACTAGTAGGTCGAACCTGCCAGAACCTCAACAAGTACAACAATCAAAGCCAAGACTCAGTTTACCAACTTTGATGCAAAAAAAAAAAAAAAATAAATAAATAAATAAATAAAAAAAAAAAAGAAGAAAAATAAAAAAAACATAAATTAAGAAATGTCAAAGGCATAAATAATGAAATTGTCATTCATAATAGTACCACAAGTTTTTCTTCGAGTTCCTTTCCTCCACCAATAGTGACAACAGCTAATTCTGGACTAAAACCTTCAACATGACTAGCTTCTTTCTCTATAAATGAATACGGTATAAACTGCAAAAAGGTTTAAGAAAAAATGGTGTCAGATAAATAACTTTGAAAAAAAAAGGAGAAAAAAGAGAGGGAGGGAGACAGAGATATTGCAAACTCAAGCAACACTTGAAAACATATAATGCCCAAATCATAATATGATATCTCCTGAGATTTCATTCAGTTTGAAAGCATTTCATTTATATTGGGAATGCTCCATGTAACTCAAAAAGGTACAGGGAATTTTTGAGAATGATAACAGAGTGTACAAACTATACACCAATATAGGACAGAGTCCTTAAAAAAAATAAAAAAAAAAAATAAAAAATAAAATAAATCAAAGCTATCTCACTTTACAACATGAACACCCTAGACAAACATTAAAGTTAATTGATATACACCATTCTATGTTCTATTCCACAAAGACTCCTAGCAATAGCTCTACTTTTAACCAAGTAGTACTTGTCTAGCAGTAAGGATTGTAAGATCAACCCCACTAGGGGTAACTAGGGGGTGGGATTACTTAACCTTTGCCCAAACCCCACTCCCAAGGAGCCTAGCCCAATAACCCAATTTATAATTTAAAATCATCCCTCTTTCCCACACTTTCCATCTCTCCCACAAAATTTCCCCCCAATTAATAACCCGCCATATAAACATTTCCTTCAAACTTTTGCAACATAATCCCTTAAATTGGATATCAATTAATCTCCTAAAAAATGAGAAACCATTGGTGTTTCAAAATAAAAAATTATTATACCAAGATGCTTTAAGTAACAACCTTTGCGCTCTTCTTGTGCAAGTATGACAACCCTTGGTAAAAATTTATTATACCAAAATGCTTTAAGTAACAACCTTTGTGCTCTTCTTGTGCAAGTGTGACAACCCTTGGTGTCTATAAATGCTAAAAAGTTACTAATAATACTTTTTTTTTTTATGAAATTTACATCATGAAAATAAATTTTACTAGAGAAATGAGGGCTAAATACATTAAAGTACCCTCTTCTTCAATATACTGCATAACTCATGCATCTCACAAGTAAGAGATACTAAACAGACGAGCACGAAACTTAAAGAGCTTTATTTACATAAATACCTTATCCTTCATTAGTATTTCCTCTTGAATATATCAACTCTAGATTTATCAACAAACTTTTCTTAGGGCTGTTTAGTTCACCTGAATTCGAGTTTGGTTATCAACTAGAAATTTATTTCATATATTATTCATTTTCGTGACGCAAATTTGTCAAGAGTAAACTGTATCCACAACTTTCAGCACCTACTTATTTGGATATCAAATTTTTTCGGATCAGTTTGATCAGATAATGACTCAATCTAATTCACAGATTTACTTAAACATTATGTATTCAAAAAATCTGATCCTAACCCAACTATTTCATATCAAATACCCGCATTGTTGGTTCCTTTTTCTGTTTATGGATTGGGTTTTCCAGATTATTGCATAGCCCTATTAGTAACTAAAACTGAATATTACTGGTAAGTACGTATTTTATAGCTATTTTTTACTAATTTGTAGTATATACTATAGGAAGTTACCAATTTTTAATAATTAAAACTGAATACTACAAATCGAAACTTATTTTAACAAATTAAAATTAATTTAATTACACTATTCATCACTACATGAGGTTACCGGTCTTTACTGATTAAAACTGGTATTTTCGAATAGAGCTAATTTTAACTTATTCTTTATTAGATATGGAGTATTTTTTTTTACTAGTTCGCTATATTACGTATTGCATGAAACTGATTTTCACCAACTATTACTGATTTCTACTATTTACAACCTATTATATCCTTGATTCCCTTTCCCTTTTCTTATTACCCCATGTTAAACGACCTCTTATTTATAAGATGGGCTAAATAGAGCCTTAATTTGGAGATGTTAACCAACTGTTACTTTTCCATGATGAAAATCTGTTACGAAGTATTTAAGTGTGTTACGTTTGATAAACACCAATTAATCATTTACCATCAAGATTAACAATTTCATGTAATCAGCTATCAACAATGGACTCAAATGGGACAAGTCAATCATTTCCTCAAATGAACTCGAGCTTCTACGCAAATATACAAATTAATGTGTTAATAAAAGTATAAAACAACCAATCAAGAGACAAATAATTCCAACTAAAATTCACCATCTATGTTAGAACATCTACTAAAAAACAATTATACAACCAACATAACTGAACTGCATATAACTCAAAAAACAATCAAATATACAAGACAATTAGGGAAGAACACTGGTACCTGTGGGAAGTACATATTGCTGTGACCAGTTTCCTTGAACTTAACATTTAAATAATCCTGAAATACCCAATTAACCAAACATATCAATAACTAATCAAACAACAAAAAAATTCCAAGTAACAACTCAAATTATAACAGGTACAATGTCAACCACCCAATAATTATAATCAACCCAAGTAGTGAATGTCAATTAGCTCAGTTGGTTAAAGTTGCAAAGAGTTAATACCCAAGACATGAGATCAAAACCCAATAAAAGAAGAAAAAAAATAAATTACTATTCAAATTACAACAGGTAAAATGTCAACCACCCAAAAATAACAATCAACCCAAACTGTGAATGTCAATTAGCTTAGTTGATTAAAGTGGCAAAGAGTGTATCCAAGATATGAGATCTAAACCCAATAAAAGAAAAAGAAAAAAGAAAAATTAACAATTCAAATTACAACAGGTACAATGTCAACCACCCAGAAATTATAATCAACCCAATAAGTGAATGCCAATTAGTAGCTTAGTTGGTTAAAGGGAGTGGTACATGATATCAAAACCCGATTGAAAAAAAAATTAAAAAAAATATATATACCTGAATGGACTCCCAGATAGCATAACCATAAGGGCGAATAACCATGGTACCACGAACAGGGCCGTAATCGGAAAGCTCGGCATGATAAATAATGTCAAGGTACCATGCACTGAAGTCCTGAGAACGTGGGGTGATTACTTTGTCTTGGGATTTAGGCTTGGTGGTGGAAGTGAGTGTTGAAGCGGATGTCTTTGCTGCTGATGTACTTCTGGTGCAGAATCTGATGGTGGGTTGAAGATGGTGGTGGTTGCGGCGGCGGAGGATAGCCGTCGAGCGAGAGGAGAAAGATGGTAGGATGAAAATGGAGGAGAGAGAAGGTAATCGGAGAGTGAGTGCCCCCATTTTTTTCAGGATTTTGGTGGAGGCGAAACCTGGATGAGGTTCAGCCGTTCAGGGTTTTAACCGTAGTGAGAGAATATACTAAGGTTAGTTTTTTTTTTTTTTTTTTTTTTTTTTTTGAAAATTGGCTTAAAATAATCTCAACTATCAACGGTGTTTGCAAAATAATACAAGCTCAGCTATTTGCTTTTAGCGGTACCAACTTTTATACTATATGTGCAAAATAGTACGGCGGTTGGCAAAGGTATCTTACGGAATATTCCGTTCACTTTTTTTATTATTTTAATTTTATATTGTAAATTAAACCCTTTTTTTAAGAAAAATATGTTATTAATTATTGCCTACCTCATGTTAATTGTTTGGCGAGACAATTCCCCTTCCCACTGTCCATTTCGTCATCTTCCAAAACAACCCATCCAAACTATTACGGCTAATCTCTTTGGTTTGTTTTTTTTTTTTTTTTTTTTTTGCATTGTTAATTTGGTATCAAATATTAATTTAATTTTTCAAATTACCAAATAGAAGTTTAAAATGCATTATTATATTGATATAATTAGTTTTTAAATTGTTTAGAATATCCAAAAAATATTCCACATTCACCATCCAAAATAAAAGTTTCCTCCTACATGAACAACCTATGAATTAAGAGGTTACAAAAAAAAATGTTTATAAAGAACTACTAAAGTCCTTAGTTCTTGTTGTAAGAGTCTTGAGTTGAAATTGGTCCTCCATCATCCATAAAACTTACTTTTTCTTTGCCTTTGCTTCTGAACATGCGTTGATACCTGTTTGTGTTGGTTGGCTGCATATATTAAAAACATATTAAGATTAAATAATTGTCCATAAGACCATTACATAAAATAGACAAACATAAGCATAGAATGAGTGATGAGAAACATTTACTTACATTTATATGGGTGCTTGGTAGACTCCAACTCCTACTGGGACCTACAACAACAAATGCAAACAAATATATAAGAAAAGGAAGTCAGCAATTTAGGGTTTAAGCTAATCACAAAAAACTCACCATGGCTCCATTTCCTCTACCCTTTCCCCTTCCCCTTCCCTCCCCTTCCTGAGTCAGGTGCTGCTACAATTTCTGCTACACTAGCAGTAGTAGTAGTTGAGCTACCATCCTTCCTCGGTCTACCCCTCCCTCTTTTAGATGGTGCTTCAACTTGTTGGTCTTTCAAGGGGCATTTCCTTTTGTTATGAGCCTTTGATTTGCAAATTGAACAAGTCATTTGTATACCATGTTTTGTGAGTTTTCCGGGTTTTTTTGGGTCTTCATGGGGGTGCTTTCTTCTACATTTTCTTGGTCTACCAGGACCGATTTTTATCAACGGAGGTTGTAATAGCAACTCCTTTTTCAAGCCAGACCTTTCACTAACACAAGGGTTGATAGAAACATCATATGCCTTCAGGTAAGTGTCCTTACGTAAATAAGCATCAACATACTCCTCACAATCGTGTTTTAACCATGTCACTGCTGAAATAACATGGGCACATGGCAATCCGGTCAGATCCCATTGCTTGCAAGTGCAAGTTCTCATGTTCAAGTCCACTACGAACTTGTTGAGATGGTCTGTCACTTGAAACATATTTAAGTTCGAAGCTTGAGAATAACATTTTCTTGCTTTTACTTTGTTTTTCTCAAGCTTGGTCCTAAGTCTTGGACAAATATCATCATTTACTTTCTCCATCTCAAGTTTCTTAACCACTAACCTTTCCATTAAAGCAGTCCTTATATCCTCTAACATGTCGATAATATGATTTGACCTAGCCTGAAGTATGTACCCGTTAAAAGTTTCCACCATATTGCTAACAACCACATCAGACTTGCATGAGGGCAAGATATAAGCTCTACAAAATTTTGTAGGATCACAGCGCTCAAAATCTTGCGCTGCACTTGGAGAAACCTCTCTCATTTCTTTAATTGCTTCTAGTAACTCAATCTCTGTGTAAGCCCACGTTGCTGCGCAAAACAATTATTTTAACTCATCGCCACGATTCCCAGCCTTCCAGTTTGCATGAATGTGCCTAGCACATAATTTGTGATCAGCGTTTGGGTACACCTTAGCAACCCCAGCAACAATACTCTGCATAATTGAGCAAAAACGATAATAATATTACAAGATTAACAAACAAAGACACATAATTTCATGTAAAGAATTGAAAGCTAGCAGATTAAGGCACTAACCTTGTGTTGATCAGAGATAAATGTCCAACCTGTCCCATTTGTTCCTTCGAGACAATGCTTCACTTGAGTAAGAAACCACTCCCAATTGTCGTTATTTTCCCCTTCAACTACTGCCCAACATAAGGGATACATCTGATTATTTGCATCTCTTCCAATTGCACTCAACAATTGACCACCTAAAAAGGTTTAAGAAAGCATCCATCTATGCATAGAAGCCTCTTAAACCTGCTTTGAACCCCTTCCGTAAGCCATCAAAACATACAAAGAATCTTTGGAAAACGGGTGGCCCTTTAGTGATATTGGGATTAATTACCAATTCAAAATGGCTTGTTGGGTTAGACCTTTTCAACTCTTCAATATACCTACCTAGTTTTGCATAATGTTGCTTCATACTACCGTGAAGTAATTTATGTGCTGAAGCCTTTGCCCTATAAGCCACCCATTTTGACACACAAACTCCATAGTTCATTTTTAATAACTCAATTAGCTCTTTTGCAGGCCAGTGTGGATTCCTCTCAAATATGGGTAAAAATTGTTTTGCGATCCATGAACTTTTAACCTGACAATTCTTCAGTATACTTCTACATTTGTGATCATCAACCACTGTCCTAACAAATAGGGTGCACTTTTTGCTACTCCATGATGCATATACAAAAAAAATTACAACCATCTTGACACTTTGCAGCCACCTTTTTCTTCTTTTTATTTGCAATACCAAACCTTAAAGAGTATCCATTATTAACTCCATAGCAAATCATTGCATCCTTAAATTTTTGAACAGTGGGAAATCCCATACCAACTTGCCAGACCAACTTAGTGTAATCAGTTCTCTCATCAACTAATGGGATCATTATCCTGTGGCCGAGAATCTCATCTTCACTCTCACCGTGACTGCGCATATCTCCATCAGAGTCATCATAATCGGATGCATAACCCTTTCTTTTTCAAGACGAATGTCTCTATCAAGCATTTGCTTCTCCAAGTCCCTGTACAACCGATGTTTTTCCTTAGAAGATGCCCATTCCTCATCACTCGTAGGTGCCTCATCTTCATCGCCCTCACTAACAACCTGTTGTCCACCACTAACCTCTCTCATTGTATTTTCCTTTAGTTCGTCATCAGTGGTTGATAACTCTTCATTCTCAGGATCATACAATTCATCACCAGATAAATCACTTCCCTCGAACTCCCCAACTAATTCTTGCCATGACAAAGGTTGTTCTTCGGGTCTAGGATCTTCCCACATGTACCTCTCATCATCATCTACATAAACTTGAGTAGATGGAGCTTTGTTTGCATTGACACTGGAAGGAAGTAGCTCAACGACTTCAGGGTCATTAACTCCATGAATAGTGTATACATCAACCACTTTATGGATTTGTAAAAGTCTAAGGAGTTCTAAGGCCTCTTTATCAGTTTGCATTTGCATCAAGCCATGTTCTATTTATTCGCCCGGTATCAAGTAATAAAAGTTCATTTTCCCCTCATAGTGAAAATCATTCCCAATGCCAACAAACTCGAAATATGAACACTTATCAGGATCCACAGTCACATAATCACATTCCCCACCAACATATTTAAGAGGTGACCCAACGAATTTCCCACCATGGTGCCATTTTAATTCATAGTTATCTGGAGCCATTTTGAACTACAACCAAACAATCAATCCATAAACTAATTAACACATTACACACAAAAATTATCATACTTAACAATATAAAAGTCAAATATTGAATGTCATACGAACTCAGAGAATAAAAATAACATGGAAAAGGTTGACTTATCAACTTCAAACAAATATTTAATAAAAATGGGGGAAAAGGTAGTAAGAGCCCTAGTTAGTAAATTTAAAAATGAATATCATAAAAGTTTAAAAAAAATCACATACCTTGATTGCAATATTGCACAGGTTCCAATTGTTGTTGATATTTGAAGAATTTTGTTCAAAAGCTTTGTTAGTATTCTTCGTACGCCGTAAATTTTTGAGAAAAACGAAAAAGGAGCAGAGTTTTTCGATGGGTATGTTTTGGAAGAGGACGAAATAGAAAGTGGGAAGGGAAATTGACTCGCCAAACAAGTAAAATAAGGTAGGGAATAATTAAATAATTAAAACATATTTAATATAAAATATAAAATATTTGATTTACATTATAAAATTAAAATAAAAAAAAAAGTGAACGGAATATTCCTCAAGATACCTTTTCCGGTGACCACCGTACTATTTTGCACATATAGTATAAAAGGTGGTACCGCTAAAAGAAAATAGCCGAGGTTGTATTATTTTGCACACACCGTTGATAGTTGGGATTATTTTAAGCCAAATTTCCTTTTTTTTCGGAAATATACTATTATCTTTGAGAAGACATAAGTGGGGCTGTGGGGGCGTTTGGTATGTGGGAATTAGGGTTGGGAATGGGACTTTTTAATCCCACTTGTAATAAAATCCCTTGTTTGTTAGGTGGGAACGGGATTAAAATGGAGAAGGGGATTGGGAATATATGCCCTCTATTCCCATCAAAATAATCCTAAGGAGGGGCTGGTATTATGATATGGGAATTGGAAAGGGTGGTAAAATGACTATTTTGCCATTAATGAAAAGAAAGAAGGAAAGGTTTTGACAAGGACATTTTTGTAATATTGTTATTTAATACCTACCATATTCCCATTCAACAACCAAATAAAGACTTGGGCTTACTTTTATGAATTCCCATCAAATATTCTCAATCCCCATCCCACCCTCTAATCCCCAAATTCCCATTCCCACATGCCAAATGCCGCGGTGTTTATCTAAAGGAGCCCTCAAGTGCATTGTTCTGGTAAGGGTGACAACGTAATTTTGTCAACAAGCAAAATTAATTCAAGAGAATTCGCCGATGTTCTTTAAAGTTGCTCTGTTGAAATATGCTCTAGTATACTGTGCTGACTCAATCTACTCTGCTGACACCTACTCTTTTCTGTTAGAATCTCAAAAGAACATAATCTTCATCTCCCTACCTCTCCGTCAATTTGACATCCATTATCTCTCTTCCATCACTCAAATTTGAAGCCTTAAATGGAGAAATGATCGGCTGCAATGGAGAAATCGAAGATGGTGACAAACTCCTATCTTTTGGGGTTAACCATGCCGTTTGTTTTTCCATTTCTACTTAGGATTTTAGTTTTATTCGACGCCGCGCGAAAATATGTTGGTGGACATTGTGGTTATAGAGGAAGTTTCAATGGAGGAAGAAGTTTGAGTATCTTCGATGGAGGACGAGCAAGGCTTGAGCATCTTCAAATGGAGGAAGATAATGTTCAAGTTAACAGTGTTTATCAAGATTATTTATAATTATTTTATTGAACTTTACAGTTAGGCAATAGATAGAATATCTATAATGATCTGGCACAAGTATAATGTTGTTGTTATTTACAATCGCGCCACTAGATAAACATATACTACGTTTATCTATAAGACTAACTAGGGCTCCCTCATATTATAATAACAAGCTACGTGACACACGCTACGCGTGTATATAATAAGAAATTTATTAATTTACTCATAATATTGTTATTGTGGTTTTTTTCGAAAATCAATACTTACATAAACTTTAAATTTAAGAACGAAATTTTTTTTGTCAATAGGACATCTACTCCACTTCGTGTACCTCAGTTAATCTTAAAAAATTTTGTTGATCGTTGAGTTTTTATATAATATAAAAGATTGAAAACTATACTGTAAACGTCTACGGTAACTCGGTAATAGTACGTATATAGATTAGATTGATGTATAATTTTCCTTTTATATTTTCTAATAATTTTTTAGGTTTTTTTTTCTTTGTAACATAGACTTTTTTGAGGGAACTATATTGGTATTATTATTTTTTTTTAATAAAATCATGATATAGTTATCTTTCAACAAAGTTTAAAGTGGTTTTTTTCAATAAAAAAAAAGTATATGTGGTTTGTGGTTAGTTACATTCTTTTTTGTTTATGAAAAGTAGATAATTTTTGTTTGTTTTTAGTAATAATAATTCTGGTTAGTGGATAGTTAGTTTTTAGTTTTGTTTTTTTTATTTGAACTTGTTACCCTAGTTCAAAATGGAAAATTTCAGAGGTTGTTTTTTTGTCGATCGTATTGTTGCGTTAGAACATAATGACTTATTTTTTATGATTATATTTCATGAATTTTGAATGAATTGTTAAGTTTTTTTTCCTAGTAGTGTGACAATCTAACATTATTGAGTACTTTAAAAAAACCAATAAATATTTTGATGATTTTAAAGTAAGTGAAAATGTTTCGCTAGTTGTACTTTTTTTTGTTTTAAAGTTGAAATTTTCGAGCCCTTTTTCATACACAATACATGTTTTGAACTTCCGAGTGGTTTTCCGCTGCGATAATGAATTGTTATGTTTTTTTTCCTAGTAGTGTAACAATCTAACAATAATGAGTACTTTAAAAAAGCCAATAACAATAGTTATGTGTACTTAATAAAACTCAATAAGGTTTTAATTATCTAAGTGATTTTAAAGTAAGTGAAAATGTTTTGCTAGTTGTACTTTTTTGGGTTCTAAAGTTGAAAGTTTCGAGTCCGTTTCTTTTAAAGACAATACAGGTTTTAAATACCCGAGTGATTTTCCAGAGCGATATTTTGTTAGTAGGCTGATTTTTTATTAATTAGATTGTATATATTATATTTTCAGCTTTTTTGCTATTTTTAGAATGTTCTCATTTTTATTCTTGTGTAGTAC